AGGGACTCGTGTACACACACACACACACACATGCACAATCACATACAGACAGACACACAAAGGATGAACTTGATGGACCTGTGTCTTTATTCAACCTCAAATACTATGTAACTATGGCTTCTTAAGGGTTAAAGTTTCTTCCTGCTGCTCCTTCTTCTGTAATGTTACGAGGGGTAGTGAGGGGTGAGGGGGCTCTTCACTGTATGTTAATCAAGTTAATGGGAGAAACACAATGCTTAAATTTCAGTCCTAAGTCTTTATATGAGGACAGATCACTGTGAAGGTGATGAGAAAACCTGGTATCAGCCATGATGCCTGCTGCAAAATCTAAAAGGTGAGAAATATATTTTTAAACATTATTTTTTCATTATGCTGTGTGAATAGATACACAAAGGAAACATATAGAGGGGTTTTCTCAAATTTGACTGCAAAAGTGGAAATACAATTTAAAGGTGCTACATCTCCGGATGGTAAGAAATCCATTATGTCCTATATGTGCTCAAATCTCAGTCCCTCATTTCTGGATATCAGACAAGTTGTCCATTTGTATAAACATACAGCTTTACATTTTTCAGACCTTAAGAGAGTCTTGACTTGTCACGCAGGAACATTTTTGCAAATTGATGTCATTCATAAAATCATGTTTGCAATCTTACCAGATCTCATTCGTCCGTAATGTAAATAAATCTTTCACTCGTCCTGATCCTAAAACGGTTTGTATGTGTGTGTGAAGTGGAAGCTGTCTATATTGAGCGTTACATTCACACAGACATTGTCTTCCAAGCGTGACAGTTTGCTGGTAATTGTTACTATTAGGATTCCAATACAGTGTGAACAACTCTCTGTGTTTAAACTGGAAACTTTTAGCACTTTGTTGAATAAAAACTTCATATGTGTAATGCGATTACCAGCCACTTCCAGAGCTTTGCCCAGTGCACTATGCAAAATGAACCCTTCTGTCTCCAATTTTGAGGACTTGAGAATTTTGTTTTAGTGTCTATAACTGTGATCATCTTGAAGTATAACTGCAAATTATACATTTTTACTTGTTTCTTAAGTCCCTTAATGCTACTAGTATGATATGATAGTACCTTTGCTACAGACAAATTCAATTTCCAGTAATATGGCCTGCAGCCCCCTGGCTCTGAGTATAGCCTCTCGCCTTTCTAATCAGCACCCTCTAGTGGTGGCCATGAGTAGCTCTTTTAAATGAAAGATGACTTCAGACACAAGCTATGCTGCAAGAAGCAGTCTGTATCTTCAGTAAAGGTAAACTATTTTATTGTCATTTTTAGATAGACAGCAACAGGTGCAAATGCATTATGTTTAGTATTCTTCAATGTAAATCTTACCAACGTGTCCTAATATTGTAAAAGGTTTGTTTCAGCATATAGTTTGGAAACATGCAGGTACATGGGAGAATTACATGGACAAACGCTTCTTTATGCCTAATAGTACTGCACCGTGATTGTACTCCCTTGCGTCTCTCTCTCTCAAGTCTATGGGTCATGCTAGATCTCTTTTACCCTTTTTTCTGCTTATATAATGACGATATAAACTGCAATTCTGGGCAACAATTGAGACCCAATGAGAGAGTGTGCCTCTTTTACTTCCTTGATTTCTGGCACATGTGACTAGAGCACCTGTGCCGTGTAACCTCCTTTATGTGTCATACCTATGGACTTTCAGAAATCAGAAGCCTGAGATTCTGGAGGGAATGGGAGGTGATATCGGGTGTGCCCATGGACAAGACTTATAGTGTTAGTGTTATTTCACTGTGGTGAAATGTGGGGATAGAAGCAATGTATGTAGCTGAAAAATGTGGGGACAAGAAAAATGTGGTTTGATAGTTTCAGACCTGCAAAGGATTATACCAAACTATTATCATCCTCTAAACCAACAGCAATGACTTGACAATATGAAGACTAACCAGGCATTCGCCACAATATATGGGCTACAAATAGGCAATTACTATAATATGGGGGCAACCAATGGGCAATGCCTACAAACCCAGAGCAATACCTAAAAATGTAGCTTTTGGTGGCTTTATACATTTCCTGCTCCTTCAAACCTCTTGATCACCACAGCATCTGAAGTATGCAATGAGCATGCCAGTTTACCTAAATTCAAGGGCTATGAATGTGAAATGCTGAATCTCAAGCTATTTTAGGCCATCATCTTGAGATAAGGTCTCTATTGTAGAGCACAATGCTGTGGCTGAGGTAGTTCACATACACCAGGGGGTCAAGGGGAACACCCCCGGAGAAATCTAAATGTTTAGAAACACAGAATGAATACCAGGCCTATTAGTTAAAGAGTCCAGAAAGCTACATTTTTTCATTCTTAATTGGGAGGACACAAGAATTTACAGCAAGTGCATTTTGGTGGTCACAAAATGGATGAATGGAAATGGGAGGCAGGAATCTTTGAAAGAGATTCAGAACTTTTTCAGCCTATGTAAATGACTTCTGCAGTACCTGTACTTCACATCGACTAAAATGTTTTAAATCTCTTTCAAAGGGTCTTGCCTGCCATCTCCAAACAGTTTCCACAACCCTGATGAGGGGTGATTTTTGTACCACAATGCGTTGGTGTAACATTTTGTGTCATCCCAATCAAGGATTAATAAATGGAGCTTTCTAGACCCTAAAAAAATTAGTGTGGTGTGTAACCTATTTCCATGACATTGTTAGTGAAGAGCTGCTTTTGCCAACCCCCATTCAGAAGTCTTGTTATTAGCACAGTGATAAAGATATATCCTCTTCATTGTCACCAATAGCTCTGCAGTGACAAGTCAAGGTGGCTAAGTGGGACCACATACAATCTTGACTCATCTGGGCCCATACATTGCTGTTTCCGTAATTCCTTGCTTCCCTATCAATACTGGGTCCTTGTCAGTTGTCCACTGATGCAATCTGGACCTAATTAGCTCTGTTGTTTCTCATTTGCTGCCATCCTCCTCCAGCCTCGGTAAGCACCACAGCTGGTCTGCAAGTGGGACAGGATGGGCTGGAAGGGAGGAACTGAACATCATACATACCTACTAGAAGCTGTTGGCTGCAGTCCAGGTGAGTATGTGCCAGTTTAAACAGCAATTGTTACATCAGTTCTAATGGCTGGTTGGTATCTCTCGCCTAAGCCATAAAGAGCCCATGGTGCCCGGAGACCCATTAATCTTTTTTATTATCTGAAGTCTCTGGCCTAAATTCAATGGTTTACAGGTATGTACACTTGGTGGGCTTGGGAATAGTTTCCTGCAAAACAAGCAGGTGTTTTCAGATCACCAGATTATGTGCAAAAAGAATTGAGGTGGACTATATCAATACTTGTGTGAAAAGATGAGCGGGAAGGGTTTGCTGTTTGCATGTATCTAAAGGTCTAATGTCATGTTTGAGTATAATAATAATGATATTAAAACTGACCTTTACCCATATCTTTAAAATAACAACAAACACACCTTTAGAAATGTTTAGTAATGACAATCTACAAATACATACTTCTAGATAATTGCCGGCTTTGTATTATTTGCATTCCTTATTTCTCTTTTCTTCCCCAGTCTTCTGCCAGTGGCCATGTTTACTAAGGGCAGATTACTGGCTCTCCTTTTACTTCCTTGATTTCTGGCACATGTGACTAGACATGTGATTAGGACATGTGACTATGCACATCATCTCAGGGGAGGAAAATGCTTTTCCCTGAGATCTCATGAGATTACAGATGAGATTTCCCAGCATTGCTCTGCTGATGACAAGGCAATCCCAGTGTGCATTGCTTTGGCAAACTGAAGTCATTTTGCACTTTCAAAGCAGGAAGTGAATGCTCTGCAAGTGTAAGTATTTCATAATCACAGCATTTTACACCTGACATGTCTAAGCTATTATTAATCATCATACATAGAGGGATGCATTGGTAGAATTTTATTTTTGAGTGTAAAGGTCCACTTTAATAAATAGTGCTTTACACAGTAGAGAGGACCATTCTGTCATTACTTTGCAATTGTTCTTTATTTACACACAGAGAGAAAAGTTGTAGTGGGTCTAATTAAAAAAAAAAAAACACAGCTGCTTTCTTACTGATTTCTCAGCCATATTTAGGGGCCTGTCCTGCTATGATCTGCCTGTTTGTCTTGAAGGCTAACCATTTCCCCAAGTATTCTTGTCCTTGTTAGTCCCATCGCTAGGCATGGTGCATAGCCTTTTTTCTATGTACAGTTTTAATATTATTTTTATCTTGACTTAAAGCATACATAAATGTAAATCCTGAAGCGGCCTGAATTGGCAGTCCTGGTGAATCTTAGCCATGGGTGTTAATTCCTCGAACACAGACTTAGTACAAGAGCACTCTCAGAGTGGAATTATAAATAGAGCCACAGCAGGTTTGAATTAGACACAAGCTTAAAGGTGTTCAGACAGGGGTAAACTATTCATGTTAGACAATATGTTTTGGGTTTCTTAAGATCGTAAGTGCAAGGTCGACTGATCTGCTCCATACAATTATAGTAAGAGGAGTTTAAAACTTGACATATGGCTCAATAATATGATCTGTATTTTCATTTTTACTGTAACCTACACCACCAGAGCCATATTAATTTTATTATGAATCTGACGTCACTTGCTCTATGAGGGCATGTAGTACATATTGATGTTATTGTTACATCTGGTAGATGCACTCTGATGCATAAAATGACTGCTGAGAGCATAGCCATAAATTCAGCATATCACATAACATTGTTAAGAATAGAACCTTGTCCAAATAAATGCCCTGAAACTGCTGAAAGTGACACAAAACTGAGGAGTTAAATCATCTTAAAAATGTACCTTAATTTTTAACAAAAATGTGTATATGACTCAGCTGTAGATCCTCAAATCATCTCTAATTTCATGCGGACACTGTCCTTCTTTTGTCAGAGTGGCTCCCCAAGGTCCCTGCAACAATGATGTCTAAGGGTTTTCAGAAGACAGATTGCATCACTTTGCCATTTATTGTGTTTTCAGCACCAGAAAGGACCCAATCCCAGCGGAAGAGATGATGACTGATGAACCTTCGCTGAAGTACTTTGATCACATTCCCTCCACATCATCCTCCCCTGAGGATTCAGATGATGAGATGCTTCCTCCCCACCTCCTCCTACCAGACAGTATTAGCCAGCTGGAAGAATTTGGGAAACACAAAAAATGGTATCGGAGACACCACAGAAACCAACACCGACGGCAGTTCAATGATCTGTGGGTCCGATTGGATGACAGGTTTGTAGTGTTTCCGTTTTTGTCTGCCACACTATAATTTTCTTCTTAGTTCACAAGAAATATCAGAATAAACAATTTTTTGAGGAAAATATGTATTCTGTGACATGTGAATTTTGGGAATGCACTAAGTATATCTTCATTATTCCTTAAATAATACACTGCTTGGCCAGAAAAAAAAGTCAAACACTCTAATATTTCGTTGGACCACCATTAGCTTTAATTACGGCACGCATTTGCCATGGTATCGTTTCGATAATGTTATACAATGTCACAACATTTATTTCTGTCCAGAGTTGTATTAATTTTCACCAAGATCTGGTAATGATGATGGGAGAGTCTTACCACTCCGTAAAGTCTGCTCCAGCACATCCCAAACATTCTCGATGTGGGTAAGGTCTGGGCTTTGTGGTGGCCAATCCATGTGTAAAAATTATGTCTCATGCTCCCTGAACCCCTCTTTCACTATTTGAGCCCGATGAATCCTGGCATTGTCATCTTAGGATATACCCAATGTGCCATCAGGCTAGAAAAAATCAATTGATAGAAAAACCTGATCATTCAGTATATTTAGGTAGGCAGCTCATTTTTTGCGGATATAACATTGCTAAATCTAGACTAATTATTCAATGGAAAGCTCTTATGTATTTATTTAGCTACATCCAGGTGGTGACTTTTTTTCTGGCCAGGCAGTGTATATCTCAACTACAATATAGTACAGGAGGTGTTATTTTATTACAGTTCGTTTGTTGTAAAACATTGGATCATAAAGTATTCTCACCCAGGACTTACTATAGTCAGTCCTCTGTCCTGGGGCTAGATATCTCAGCATGCTCATTGTTGGTGGAATGAACTGTTTCTCATTAAGTTTCAGGCTTTCCCAAGATGAATGCCAAAGCTATTAATTGTAGACATTTTGTCTGCACCCTGCCTCTAAATGGATTATATTGGTAATTATGTGACCTTCTCTACCACCATATAATCACTGCTGGCTGGGTGGTTAAGGGTAGGGGAAGAGAACTTAGGTGTCAATCTTGTACGACACAACCATTGCAAAAAGAGAATCACTCAAACAGCAAAGTTCTTCATCTTCTGTATTGCACTGGCACTACGACGAACCGAGCTCATAATTGTTCTTCTGTTTTGTAAGTAGAGATTGTACATGACTAGGGTGGTGGGGATAATAAGAGGGTGCTCTGCTCTGTGTTGTCCAAATGCCATGATGTTTTAATTGAGCAAAACATTAGGACTTCCTGGTATAATGAGGCAATAATGATAGTCCAAATGTATAGGGGGCTAGAGGTGTTGGAGTTAGAAACATCTAATAACACTAAAACATTCTGGGGCTGATTTTAGGTGCATCATTCTTCTTCAGCATTTATAGACAAGGGATAGGCAACCTCAGCACTCCAGCTGTGGTGAAACAAGGGACAAGGGACATGGCTTTTCACAACCTATTTGTGTTTTAAATGAAGGATTATCTTATATTTTACCATACCCTTGATGAGGCTTTTGAGAACCAGGAGCTTCAAGGTTGCAAAGCTTGACTGTTTACTTGACTGTTTTACGTTTGAAAGTGTAGGATAACTGAACTGGCGTACCCTATCATGAGTACATTTAATCATTTCAAGTTCCTAATATCTGTCAGATGACACAGTACATGCGTCTAGGACTCTAGGGCTTTCATTTCATCCAGCCATTACAGTAGCATACCAGGTCACCCTATTCCTACTTTTCATATTCCAGGGACACTGCCTCAAGCCCTCTTTGAAAGTATGCCCATTGGGAAGGCTATTCCCAACCCTGTCCCCTTAGTGCTTTGTTTTTCTAGAAGAGGTGTCTCTTTATCAATCACCTCATGGCCTGGAGTTCATTTTTCTCTTCTGTGGGCTAGCGCCCCCCCCCCCCCTCTTTTCTCCCTAGTTTTTCTAACTTTAATACTCCTACCAGTACTCTTATGGGGATGATTTTTGTTATCACGACTCCCAGAAAGATTTGATTATCTTGTGTTTGACAAACTTCACCAAATCAGCACACCCTACCTAACTAGACGCTATTTTGTAGGATGTAACAGTTTGAGCCAGAATGTCCACACCGGGTCTTTAAAATTAAAGTCTTTGAAGCCAATCTCCAGCATTTATAGAAAGCACAAATAATTGTATAAGTACCTGAATCTGACTTAGTGTCACCCTCTTCAATCATCTTTACAACACAGCTTTAACTGGGAGAAGGAGAAGTGGCACAAGGAGACAGTCATTTGTGCTGCATGTTAATAGGAGGATAGAGCAGAGTTACAAAAAGATGAGCTCATTAGTGTACTGTTTCTCCTTTCACTGTCCAGTCACAGGGTGGGTGTAGAAAGGAGGCCCGTACGTTTTACTGAACTGGAGCAGAGAAAAATCAGCTCTCCTTTCCTGCCTGACAAAGCTGTGCTATGTGGCAAAGCTGTGTTAACCTTATAACTCATCTCTGCCCCCCGTCCACAAAAACGTATCTGTGGTCCTTGTCACTGCCAATGTGTTATAGAAAAATTAGCTCATTAGTCTACTGCTTCTCCTTTCACTGTCCAGTCACAGGCTGGGGGTGGGGAGGAGACCTGTAAGTATTAATGAGCTGCAGCAGAGAAAAATCAGGTCTCCTGTCCAGGCAGACAGGGCTGTGCTTTGTGGCAGAGCTGTGCAAATCTTTGGCACCTCTCATATATGTATTTTAATGGTGGGTGTATTAAGCTGATCGTCTGGAGTTCAGCACTAAACTCAGTTCTATTCACATTTCATTCAGATTCTGTTTCAAGAAAGAAAACTTTTTAGTTAGATTCAAAGACATTTTCAACCCCTCTAGAGAAAAACAACAAAACTTGCGTTTTAGGCATATTTTCGGAAGGTTTATGCTGAAAATGTAAAGCGTCAAATCCGCCATATGGCCAGTAATGAGCTCACTGCAAACTCCCGGTTAGGTTTGTGTGCAGTCTGTCTTGAAAGAGGAAATTATTTTCCTATGTTAATGAAAAGGTATCGCGTTCCATCTCTCTGTTACAGGAACAAACCCGATTCATACAGGCAAATGTACCTTTCAGATGCAGTTAGAGGAAATGAAATGTTTGGTTGAAATGGCAACATTTCCCTATTTGCAATGAATGAAGAAATATGTGATTTTATGACATAACAGAGTCGATTTTACAGCTAGACGTTATCTGTTTATGGGGACAGTGAGCTGTTTCTACTTTTGGAGGATAAGTATTCGCTGTGGCGTTGTTTTGATAAGCTTATTCAATGTCACAACATTAATTTGCTTCCAGAGTTCCATTAATTTTTCACCAAGATCTTGTAGTGATGATGGGAGAGTCGGACCACTACGTAATGTCTTCTCCAGCACATCCCAAACATTCTCAATGGGGTTAAGGTCTGGCCTCTGTGGTGGCCAATCCATGTGTGGAAATAATGTCTCATGCTCCCTGAACCACTCTTTCACAATTTGAGCCAGATGAATCCTGACATCTTAGAATATGCCCGTGCCATCAGGGAAAAATCCATTGATGGAAAAACCTCGTCATTCAGTATATTCAGGTAGGCAGCAGACCTCATTTTTGGGGGACATTACCTTGTTGAACCTACACCTGACCAACTGAAGCAACCCCAGATCATAACACTACCCAAAATCCAGGAGATTACTTTTTTCAAGTTTTAATTACAATGGGAAATAGATAAAACCCCTGCCAGGCTTTTTGTGTTCCATCGGGGAGATTACACTTCACTTTCTGACCCAGAGATTCAACATGCAGTGAGATGAAATCTCTATAAATCAATGGGAAACCCCCTTTTAGACATTTGTCACAACAACAGGTGTCCACGTTGGAAGATTCTCCCCAAACCCCATTGCAGCTGTAACATTTTGGATTTTCCATCACTTTTTGTCCCAGTGACAATGGTCATCAAGATAAACATAAGTCTCCTAAGTTTGCCCAATCTCACTCCAAACTGAGACCGACTCCCTCCCGTCCCACAGCTATACATCACAAAGAGGCAGACAATGCCCCTGCAACAACTGCCACCAGTGATTGGGCCAGGAGGGGG